GCCCCATCTTCCCTACCTTCGTCTATTTTAACGTTGACGTCTAAGAAGTTTATTTCGGTTTGAGAGTAATAATGTGTGAAGCGGATGCTCGGATGAGCAGCGTTGTATCGACCTATGAAGCCCACCAGCTCCTCCTCAGTGTGCGACCAGACAATAAATATATCATCTATAAACCTGCATTATCAAAGCGACCACCCACACCATTGCAAGAACAGCATTCCCTATAGCCAAGCTCATCGTTTCAAACAAATTTGTTCCAAATAGACAGATTTTGATGCGAACAGCCAGAATTTAAAGTCAGCGCTAGAGAAACAAAAGTATCCACCCCGTATAATTGACGATGCACTCAGAAAAGCCAAGCAACTGAACCGAGCAGACTTTATCAGCCCGCGCCCCCACGCAAAGCGACACACAATGAAAAAATCTATATCTAACTTATAGCATGAACCATCCTAATGTAAACAATATCTAAAGACGACATTATAACATTCTCGAACAAAGCGAGCGCCTTAAACGCGCGTTTCGATCCACCTCTGGGGTAGTCCACAGACGATCGCGTAACCTCAAACACACGATAGTAAACTCTCGGATAAACTTATCGCCACCACCTAACGAATGTAGGCCTTGCATGCACCCAGGATGACTAATCTATAAACAGCTGCAGCACGCAAACACGACCAGCAGCACACACTCGCAGTTCTCCTTTAAAATTAAAGGGCACCTAACATGTGCCTCGTCAAATGTCGTGTACTTCTTCGAGTGTGCGGTATGCAAAATACAATACATAGGGCATACTAGAACGGCATAATCACAAATCTCACGCCATAAATCTTCCGACACTGCCTCTAACCAAACATCACGCTCTCCCAGAACACTCGTTTGATAAATAGTCAGTGACGATTCTAAAATCTGGATTTAAATCAAATCGCGAACGTGAACAGCGTGAATCCTACCTAATTTACCGATTCAACGCTATTAAACAAGGAATAAATGAAAGCCCCGGTACTCTGCATCGACTAAAATGCTAACAGACGAATAGCAACAGCGATCAGAGGACATTTTTAGGTCCCAGACCTTATTGTTAGCAGTGGTACTGTGTTTGTGGCCGGAACTGGACCATCAACTTCTCTCTTTCATTTCCAGGTTTTGATATTCATTCTCTTTTTTCTTCTTATTTTTAGGTTTAACATTGTTCCTTTCCAGGTCTAACTCGTGCATGCCCCACAAAACAACCCAAATAACCGTGCCATTTTTTGTTGTTTTTTTTTTTTGCTTTTTTTTTTGGAGACAGCAGTTTAGTTTGCGCGTGTGTCTTTCGTCTATTGTACGCTATCGCCAGGTCACCCCTGCCCGCCCGGACACAAAGTCCCCCTGCGGCCCCTCTCAAGAAGCTACAACCGTCATCCAACCGTCCCTGAAACTTGGCCCCGACCGACAAGCTTCTTCACCCGGATACGGACTGCCCTCGCTTCCCTCTCACGAAAGCTCCAACCGTCACCCCGCCGAAATTTGGACCCGACCGTAGCATTGTATAAACGTTTGCCCATCTGGAACTCCTCCTACGCTTTTTTGGGACCTCCAACCGTCATCCCGCCGTTTTTGTAACTTGGTCTCGACCGTGGCATTGTATAAATACCACCCGCGTTCATGTGCCCAAAGTTTTCGATTGATAGATTCGGAAGCTAGTAAACCCAAGGCATGCCAAGGGCCAGGCATTTTCAGAAATGCCATACTAGTAATTTCTACCTTTGCGTTTGGTATACCACGCGCTAAATCGCGTGGTTAGCTCAGCCGAACACGAGCAAGGAATGTTATTCCGTAGCACTCTGCGGAATGTCCATTATGCATACAATAGGCTCGACCGCCCCTGTTGAGGGAACGGAATCTATTAATGTTCCCCCAATCCTTTCGCAACGCTGTGTTGTGTATGGAACAGAGAGTAACGGAGATATCAGGTTGCCGACCCATTGCACTTCGGCTCGGAATACTGGAATACTTGGGTCTGGTGCGGCTGGTGACAGTACTTGGAAATTCGGACACCGCGTGCCGACCCTGATTCGCCCACCCTGGATACTGTGAAGATGTGCTACGGACTTATGGACAAGACACTTGGACATTTCTAAAGGATCTCCTTCCTTCCTCGGCTCTGCCCGCTTTTCTCCCAGCCGCGTTCTGTGGCTCCTCGCGCCCCGCTTGTCGGCTTTGGCGAAACAACCCTCCTCTCTTTTCATAATTTTCACTTCTGTCAGCTGTTACCCCCTACCCCCTCCCCCAATCCAACGATGACCGTTCGGCCCTTGGCTGTAACTCCAACGTTGGTTTTCCCTCTTTTGCAAGACTTCTCTCTCTGTCTCTCTCTCTCTCTCTCTCTGGAAAAGTTCTTCCTGACGAAGGCCGGACTCCGGTCGAAACGTCGAAGAACAAATCGTCCGTTGTTACTGTTTTCACTAAGGGGTTTTCTTCTCAGTTATATACATATATATATATCGGAATGCATCTACAACCGCGGTTACTTTCGCTATGCCGTCCATATACAGCACAGTGTATGGTTGTCCATTGCCATGAAAGGTGAACAACTCTGGTAGGTTTTACGTAGTTGTCTGGCTGAGAGTATCTCGTGTGACTTCCATTCAAGCTTACTCATGAGCTGTTCCGGTTGTATGTAGGTTAAGCGCCTCTGATTACGCTTCACGTTCTATTTGACGGTGGTATTTCATGGGCTATAATCGACACTTCTCTGTTTGGGGCCGCGACTGCACTTCCCTTGATAATACCGGGAACTTAGGCTAAAATCTTGGTTATGAAAGACACGGTATTCTTCGTGCTACCAATACAGATGAGAAGCTTTTGGCCCGTTGTGCAGTATTTCTGAATACGTCCAGCGCTCCATAGAACACTTTCACTAGATGTTCCATGGGTATTCTGGCTAGGTTGTATGTTTTGGTTCAACGGAAAACGATTCTGAATTATTGCTGTTTTCTGTTCTAAGAAGTCTGCCATAGGGTTCGATTTCTTAGTCTTTCGTCAGAGCTGCATTTGGCAGCACTTTTTTTTTCTTTTTTTTATAATACGCCTCGCCAGCTGTAATCTTCTGTTGCGCCTTCTTTCGCGCCGAGGTAAACGGTCGCAGAGCCACTGCGTGGGTGAGCGCTGCAGCTGCGACTTCAGCGCCGTCACTATGCTGCGATGCTGCCTTGTGCTCTTTCCAGGTTTCTATCGTGTAGTCTACAAGCAGTTCGGACATATGCGACAAATCTGTTCCTACGCCCCTTGCGCTGGGTCTACGAATGTGCTTCGGATACTAAAAAGATACTACTTGGATCCTAGCTGCCGCATTATAGTGGGTGGCGGCACGGCTCGGCGGGTTTGTTGGTTGCGTGGGCGGTGGCTGAATCGAAGCGGTCGCTTCGTGGCAGACTGAAGCGGTTAGCGTCTTTAAAATTGGTCGGGTGTTTTTGCGAGATCGCTGTAGGCTGTGCTACAGCGGGTGAGAACATTTGCTATAGTTGGGATGGCTTTGGTGTTGCAATAACTTTTTATACTTAGCTCATGCTTTTCTTTTCCGGCTTCCAGAAAAAAAAGCGCTGATAATTTTAGACCTATTCACTACTGAGTCAGAATCTTTAGTGCGCCGTGTCGTCGGCCTCTCTGGTTTGTGTTAGAATAAATCCGTGTCCGATTCGGCTTCGGAATCGCTGGAACAAACTTCCCTTGGCGGAGCTACCAAAAGACAGGCCCGTCCCCCACGGCGCGGCCATCCGCCCTTTCTTGTTGTCGCGCGCGCTGGCGAAAGAGACATAACAAGGTTACGACAATATTTAAGGAATGAAACTATCTGTATATTCACAAAACAAAGAATGACGAAGGACAAAAAAGAAATTAAAAGGAAAATTCAGACTTATGAGCACGAAAAAGAAACACTCAAAATCGTCTCTCATTTTACAGTCTCTGGTTTCTTTCCTAATGTGGCACACGGGACGTCTCCGGATTGGAGAGCATCTCATGGCCTCGGAGCTGAGGTGTACTGAACGTGGCGGTCGGGCTTGTTCAGGGTCAGCGCCTCGCCACCGTGACATGGACAGGCCATAATTCAAGTAGCAGCCATAGCCGTTAGTCGCGGCTCGTTGCTCAGCTTCGAATGCGTCCTCGTACTTGCGTGCCCGGATTCCTTTCACATACACTGTTCTTTTCTTCGCTGGCGTCTTCTTCGTCATCAAAGCATGACATTTGTAAAAACATTGCAGAATATTTGTCCATGTCCGCTCTCTAGATAAAAATAACTTACCAATATGCTTCTTTTTTTTTCTTCTAAAAGTAAATAAGGAGAAAAATGGTAGACCTGGGTTGAAGTAGGATGGTTCACGTCTAGTATTTTTCTATTTACATACGTCGGTGCTGCTCCCTGCTTCCCCCTGTCAAGAATGCTGGCTTGGCAGTTACACCGGTCGCCTTTTTTGTAGTCCTTGAAGCTACTAAAAACTGCCATGCAAACAAAGCTGGGTGTCAGGCAAACGGCTTCAGACCATCATAACAAAGCACGCGTAAAGGTCATTTCCTGCACATTCGCCTGACGGTGGCCGCTCTAAGCCGCATATTTTTTGTAAATTAAATGTAGTATCTTCCAACATTATTTTTCTAAGTATTTTTCAATAAGACCAAACGTTCGACAGTCATCGCGGGCTAAATATTAATGCGTGCTAAAATGAAAAAAAAAAAAAGATGCAAACATGTCTAGATCAATAACGGAAAGAAGGAGTGGAGGCTGCGTTTAGAGGTGATGGCGCCACCAGACGGCCCCACGAGAATAACAAGGGCATTTCCTGAACTTCAATCTACTTTTCAAAGCTGTATTTGGCCATGCTGTGAAGCATATTTCGATAAGCTTCTTACAAATAAGACTGAATTGAAACGCATTTCGACTAGGTGTCGGAGCCTCCAGATTTTTGAAGAATCTGGATTAGGGGCACAATGTCAACCTCCACTCGGAATCTTTATTTCAGGACGATGTAAACGTCGAGATAGCCAAAAAAGGGCGAGAGTTTGCTCTAACGGCGAAGCGGTTCGATTACAAGTCCTTCCAAAATGTCACCCTCCGACGTATTTTTCGACCGATGAGTGACCTTGGCCTTGGAAGCCTCGACGATGCAGAAGTGGCCAAGGTATGTGAGACTTCATGACTGCCCTACTGAAATCATATTGCATATACCCATACGGCCCATGCTCCACATAATTATACGAAAGACATATGTGGGGGAAAAATCTAAACTTTAAGTACGTAGTTTTATCAGCAGCCTCATATTTTCTAGTAGTTCAAGACAACCTTTCTTACCTTATGCACTTAATAGACACGTAAAACACAAAAACACAAAATATATTGTCGGTGCTGTGTTCCGTCTACTTATTTTAAATATTGCTAATCAGAAAATATTTAAACATAGGTGGAAGAAAACGATGCTTTTAATGTTATGTCTGACAGAAAAAGTACGGTAGACAACAATAACCAGATATAATTTGACCTGCTCAATTGCTGGGATAACGCCGACGGGTTTCGACCCGAGGACAATTGGCGACTCCCTTGCCGGGGGGAAGAACGAGAGGGAAAGGAATTTCTTAGCCTTTTTTGCCTTGTCCCCCAAAGGTCATCCTGGGGATATCCCACACCTCCTAGTGATAATTGCAAAATTGAACAGGGGAAGAAAATTGGAATAGAAGGGCGAAGGGTGTGGTCATACTTTCGGTTTGTAGATCCAAGGCTTGGTGGCGCAAGCTACCGCCCCATATAAAGGGTACAGTCATTAGCATCCATCCATCTATCCAACCTGTGGCTGCTTCATTGAAAAAGATGTTTGGGTCATGAGGTTCTTTTATGTATTGTTATTGAATGTAGGGTTCGTATTGTGTGTGTGTGTTTTTTTTTTTTTATTTTAATAGGGCAACGCCTATATTTTCCGAACTCATCAAATTTTATTGAAAATGAAGTTTGTTTATTGCGTTGTTGAAGCAATGATACTTTTTTAAATACCGATGTTTTTACTTGAGGTCTTCACAGGGCTTGTCTAACGAACCGCATGGGGTTGTGTCAGAGGAATCAAACTAGAAGACACACGGTAAAGGGGTATTCACACGAGGGAGAAATCCCGAGGATTTCTCCCCGCCACGCGCATCCCACGATGAAAACGTTAGGCTTTGCGATGTGCAAAAGCCTCGCGTTTTTATCTCGTGATGTGCGCGTGCCGGGAAGAAATCCCCGGCATTTCTCCCTCGTGTGAATACCCCTTAACCTGTGAAATAAAACATAATTATTTAAGCGTGTGAGATAAGTGTCGATATGCATTTTAATTCAAAATGCATGTCGACATGACATTTAGAACCGCTCAAAAGTCGGACATTTTATGTCATCTCCATGCTCCCGGTCTCTGATTTTCATTTCAAATGGAGGTGCTTACAGACACGCACACACACATATATATATGTATACAGTCAAACGCGTTTATAACGAACTGCAGGAAACGCTACGATCAGTTCGATATAGCAAGTAATTCGATATAGCAAATATCCTTTACAACGAACTTCCACGATGCGTTCATTGTAAGGCGAGAGCCTTTTCTTCCTTTCCCATCTCTTGGCTTCCACCCTGTAACAACGCGCTAATTTGTTTTTTGCATGTGTGCAGAGTTTGTTTTTTAAGATTATTTCCCCTTCTGAATCGCTTCACTTCGTGGGCAACCGTTTTGGGATGAAAAGCTTTTTTTTTTTATGTGTGCGTGCACAGTTTATTTTTTAGCTTTCCCCCTTCTGAATCGCTTCGTTTCGCTCAATTTTTTTCGCAACTTGAGCTTTTAATTTCTTTTGTGAGGGGGGGGGGGGGGGGGAGGGACCGGTTAGAACACGACTGTTTGCGCGTTTTCGGAAGCCTTCCCGGGGGGAAGAGTTCGATGTAGCCAATATGTTGTTCGTTATAAAAAGTGCTTTTTACATGCATTTTTATTTAAATTTTCAGTGAGTTAAATATCGACAATATTTCGCTGTACGTGTGATCATTGTTAACGGGTGTCACTGTGTATATGCATATATATATATATATATATATATATATATGCTCCTGCGCTAGAATGATAACAATCTTTGCCAAGCAGTTACGTTGTATGAACACCAAGATTTTTTTGGAGCGGAGAGGAAACCACTGATTAAGTGAAAAAATATAGTTCGATTTGTATAATAATAATAAATTTATGACGACACCTACCCCCTGTTTCGGAGAATACTGGACGTTATGGTAGTTTAGCTGCACACATTCAATTTTATTCGTATATTAATTTCCATTTTGTATTGCCTGTTAATCCACATGTCTAGCTTTACGAAAGCACTACGATGTTACTAATTGCAATCAATGGTTGCTCCCCTGAAATAAGCAAAAATCTCGAAGATCATATTATTCAGAATATTGCACCTGTATATGTTGTTCGCCTGCTGAGTGGGTGAAGATATATGCCAGCAGAAGGTTATACGCACATCTCCGTGTACTATTTTGTAATGTCATAGTCATTTATTTTGAACGATGAACATTTTAAAGAGCCTAAAGTCTGGAAAATTTTTCTATTGCACATTTACAATAAGGAAGCTTGATATAAGCATATTTACTCCTAGATCCAGAACATCAGCTCCACCATGTCTAGAGTGTACAGTTCGACCCTGGTCACCGTTGGTGGAAAGCAAAACTTATCTTTGGAGCCAGGTAAGTGCTTGGGCGCCCTGATGCCTCTGAGGATAGACTCGGTGAGCATTGTTGTGTAATCTTAAATAAGAATGGAAACTCGCTCGACATCTAAACTCACAAAATAAGATGACATTTCCTTTTAACAGGAGGAATACGAGAAATAACTGCAAGATATATGATATGCATGACTGGGTGGTATAACAATGTCAAGTGAAAGCTGCACTAGGCAAGGGGTTGGTTGATATTTCCCGAGAAGAGCGACCGCTTTTTATGGTGCGCAATAGTCTCTGCGGCGCTAAATGAGCTTTCGCACGGTGTTGAAGTGAGGTATACCCTTCTGCACTTGTCTGGAGTTACAAATCTCGCCACTACAGTTGGCTTTAGATTAACTTTTAACTAAAGTTTGTCTGTTATAATTGTGTATCCGTCCACTACAGTGTGGTGAAAGTGTTTAATTTTTACTTTGGTTTGGTTCGTCAAGTTTTATCGATGAGCCTGTTAAAAAATAATCAAAATTAAATCATTAATCGATTATTTGGTAGGTTAATTGATCAGTTGACCAGAACTATATAGTAAGACAATTAAAATACAAAATATTAGTTTTTATAATTAAACTGCCATCTGTATTTTTCGTCGACATTCTTTTGATTCAAAGCGTTGGGATTTGGATGTACGCTGATGTTCGCCAATGCACGATTGGCGTCCGATCACAGCGTCTTCCTCAAAAAGAGAGTGCAGCGGACCCTTTTCAAGAAGAGTTCTGGGCATGCGCGAGCTATTGACGCCCAGCGGGGCACACTCGAACTACAGCCGGTTGTTCCGGTGGTTGATCGGCTGAAGCGAAAAAAAGCTGCGAGTTTCCAAAGAGCGTCGTCGCGTCCACTGGGGTCAGGCGAACACGGCCGAGATTTACCTCGACCCGCCTAGACTCCGTAAGGACCTCTTTCCTTAGCCCCTTCATCGCGATCGTGCATTTTCTGTTTGTAATAGTTTTGCATGAAATGCGCTATGTGAGCAGAAGACGTGCCGAACTCCTCGTCGCCAGCAGGCCATCTGGGCCATGGTTGCTTGCACGCTTGCATCGCGGTCACCGCAATCTCACACCAAGAAAAAAGGCCTACCCTGGGTACTCAAAATGGCGTTTTAGAGACTTTGACTATCCTAAAGGGCAATTTACAAGCCTTCGGGAAAAGCGACGACCACAAATTGCTGCAATGAATATAGTTTTCAATGGAGGCTATTGAGCTGGCAGGTTATGACCGCTGAGCATCAAGCTGATATGTGATATCCCTTGGCTATTCGTTTCACTATAATGTTTAACCTTGATTCTGTTTGTTAATAATCTATCTACTGGCTGGTTTGTTCCAAAGTAACTCAGTCGGTTTATATAAGAAAGCTTCAAGAAAAATATTTTTAGGGCTAGACTAATGCACCTACTTTCACTAGCCTTATGATGCTTTTTTTTTTTTTGAGGCCGAGATAAGAAAACTTGTTTTCATTTTGAGAAAGCCGGTGCACTGCATAGGAATAATGACCCAGCTTTAGCGTGAAGTTATAGGTTAGACATGAGTACATTTTATTTGTAGCTGAAGGAGAGGTGTCACACTTAATTAAAAAGACAAGTTAAACAAAAAACAATATTTCTTGGAACTAATAAGCTGTGCATACTTTTTAACTCAGCTTTCAGTATTTTGGGCACATTTTACTTTATAGCCGTGAGTTCGTCTATAATGATTATATATTTTGTATTTTGGAAATGTTATCATTGAAACATTCCTACTTCCTCTTGCTTACTTGGAGCATGCAAAACACATTGGAGGTGAAAGAGAACCGCACTTGGGCGTCCATCATATGCCTTAGTTGTGACTTCATCTTTTTTTTTAGTTGAATTGTATTTCTCTCGCTTGGCTCGATCAGTATCTACTCCATGTACCTGTGGTGACGCAACCCTTTTACAGTGTAGCGTCACCACAGGGGACCTGTGCACTTGTGTGTTTGTGAGAGTCGTCACTAATCACTATAAGCCCTGAGCCCAGCGTGGGTTCAGACCGCCTGCTTGCCTGGCTCTGCTACATGTTTGATAAAATGTGGGCCCTGCCTTTTGAGCCAAGCCCGAGGTAGGCTTCCTTGAAGGACTCCCCGAGTTAGGGAATACATCGCCCAAGCCCGCGCTCCGCACGGATGGGTGTCCTGCGTTGGCTCGAACAGGACGATTCGCTCAGTTGCTTTTCTTCATTTCTCCTTTATTTTGACTTTCGTCTCCATCTCTCTTCTTAACCTCTCATCTTTTAGATGTAACATAAATGTTTGGAAATAAAGAAAAAATATATAGCCCATGGGTGTTGAAATCCACTAAAATGTTACATGGTGACACCAACTACATTATAGTATGAAAATATCTCGCTCCATGAAAATCCAACGGCACTGGCACGAATAGGCCTTGCATGTTTAGAACGACTGGATAAACAGCAGCCTCAGGTTTTTTGTTTTTTTTCTTCTTTTGAATAGACCGATCTCACCAGTCAGTTTCTCTAAACCGCCGCTGCCGCAGTGCATCGAGGGAACTTTAGTCTTCCTGCATCTCGCAGAACCCCGATGGAGCTTTTCCCTTGACGAGACGACATAAGCCATTTCGTGGACTGCCACCTGCCTTCTATACCCTCAGTGCAATCAAGTTCGGGCCTATACGTTTCACCATCAAGCTGAAAATATCTGCTACACTGGGAACGCCCTTTCGCCACCCTGCTTGCTCGTGGGGCTGTTCACGCGTCGATTTTTAGGTATCGATTCATGCGTTTTTGGTCTTTTATTCTTAACATTGCTATCGGATGTCGCAGAAGACCAAACGTCGAAGCTGTAGGCACTGTTGCGTACCGGACTGTCGCAAATCCTGAAGCCCCTGGCCTACAAAAGCAGGACACTGCTTTTGTAGGCCAGCAATATTTATATGTACTTGTAAAGTGAATAAAAACCTTATTATTATTTTTATTATTATTAGAAGGTCTGAAGCCCCGCAGGTTTCCGTCGAGGCCGCGAGAAATACAACGCCGTCGGAGACCAATGCACGTCGTAAACCTGTAAAATAAGCATTTCGATCACATTGCCTTACTAAAGATGGATTTCTAATGTGCTATTTGATTTAATATTTGCAACTAATGCGCTCGAAGCTCGGCGTTGTCTTTGGCAGCATTACTGCTCTCTGCTACGCGGACACATCTTGATCGAACGACGTTTTGTTGATGTGTGAGCGTAGTTACCAAAAACCTAAGTGAGCGTTTCATCCGCTTCGCCGTTTGCAGAGCGGGCTGTCGTTTGCGCCTTTATTTATGATCGTAGAGCTGCCCAAGATTGTTGCTCTATTCAAACCCGTGTCTATGCGGTTCTAACTTCCGTACCCGCTGCAAGAAAACAGGCTACTCAAAAAATAAAAGAGGTGCTTACCATACGGGAAAAGATTATCAATGAGGCGCTTAGCTGCGTTCTGTGTAAAAGAGAACAACATACTTGATCGACGAGAACGAGCATCAACTCGCGACGAGCAACTGCCTCCGACACCGTCCAAACTACTGCCAACTTGCACGAAAAGCACATTCTTCGGACACCATAATCGTATTCAGCTCGACGACAAGGGGACTGGAAAAAAGCTGATCACCAAAATGAGGTCAGCTATTCATGAAGAAAGAATTGACTTAGAAAAAAAGGGTGCGCGAGGGTGAAAAAGAGGGGGCCGCTTTTAGTTCCGCTTTTCTAGAAGAGGGAAGCTCGACGGGGGGAGTCTTTGCTTTTGTAATGTTGAGGCGCGGCAAACAACGTAAATAAAATAAGGACTGCCGTTTTCTACTTTCATTTATATTTGCCCGAAACATCAGGACGTTCAGTTCTGTTCTCTTAGTTCCCGTTTTGGGATGTCTCAATCTATCGAGGAAGGCATGCACCTACTAAAACTCCCTAAAGGTAGAATTATACCACCACACACGCATGCACATTGATATATTTAATGTCCGCTCCATTTTTAAAGCAGTCGGTCGTGTAGTGCGCGAAACATAACGCTCGGAGTTGGTAATTACGTAATCTCGAGAGGGTGCGCCGGCGGTGCTGCCGATATTAGCCGTCCCAGTGTTGCCTCCTTTGGCCATGGTGGCGCGGATGATCAACCAACGGTGGCGCTCTCGGTTACCCTGCCCAGCACCTATAAAATTATGGCGGCGTCAAGCATGCCTGGAACGCTTAGTGAGATCGGTCTATTAGGACGGCGAATGGCAACAATAGATGACTGTTGCTATCTATGGTTGCTGACACCTAAAGTACTAGTCGAGATAGCTGTCTCTGTCTCAGCAAACCCGGTATCTCGGTGTGAACACGGCAGCCCTCTCCCTTGGCTCGGCATGATTGCTCGACAGCTAGGACGGTGGGATCCTCATGCATTCTCTTAGATGCGTGGTGTATACACCGCTGGGACAGCAGCCTTAACCACTGTAAGTGCGTTGGCGTAAATGAATGGGGAATGTATTTTAGAGCGCAGCTTTTAGGCGCCCGTCTCCGGGTTTCACGGCGTCGCCGTCGGCGTCGGCGTAACCACGCTAAATTTAGCAAGACAATTAACGTCACGTGGCCTCAACACCAATTAAACTCCCCGCTAAATTTAGCGGGGAAATCGACGTCACATGATTTGGTGCCACGTCACCGAATAACAAATTTAGTTTCTCCGATAGATTTAGCGGGAAATTTGACGTCACGTAACGTCAGCATCAATTCAATTCCCCGTTAAATTTAGAGGAAAAATTGACGTCACGTAACCTGAACACCAATTCAGTTTGCCCGCTAAATTTAGCTTTAAAAATTACATCAGATTACTTTATGTCACGTCACCTATGAACAAACACAGTTTCTCCGCCAGATTTAGCGGAAACAATGACGACACGGCACCTCAACAGCAATTCAATTCCCACTAAATTTAGCAGGAAACTTGAAGTCACGTGACTTCAGCACCAATTACACTCCCCGCTAAGTTCAACTAG